TAAAGATAGATGCAAATAGGTCGTCCATTTGAAAACAAGTGTAATTAACGTTCCAAATGTTTTTATTAATGAAATTATTATTTCTAGTTTTCAAAAAAAAAAAATTCATATTCATAATCTCCATGTTAAAGATTATATATTCTCTAAAATAGAGGATCAAATTATATTTAAAAAGTATATTTATTGCTAAACCCACATTTCTACAATATGCGGGTTGGCCGCATAGAAACAGTGTCCAAAAATTAATTTTGAAATCCTTAAATCGAGATTCACCGTCTATGCCATGCACTCACTATTATTTCATCTTTTTTTATGAATTTTTTTTCAATGGGTCGGTATGGGTCGGGTCTGGTTGGACCCAGACCTTGACCCTGACTTGAATGTATTCAGGTCTAGATTTTGGATCCATCGGGTCCAAAAGTTAGACTCATATCTGTACCCGGCAAGTCCTGGATCTGGTTGGATCCATTGCCACTATCACTTTGAGCTTTTCTTCTTCTTTTTTGGGCCTTTTTTTTACTATCATATACTCATATTATTGACAACAAGGTCACAATCACTTACCATTAGATTTGAAGTTGTCTAATTTGTCGTTTAATAGCTAAATATTGTTGTTACGTGGCCTTTAAAGGCCTTATGAGTTCTTTGTAAAATGAAATGATATAGTGGAACATGAACTTAGTGGGAGTCTGATCCCTCGTGGACTATACTAAGCAAACGATGGTTTACTGATACCGATTTATGCCTAACGATCTAGGCCAATCAGTTGGGAAAAACCCATGTTACCTGGGCATGAGGAACAAACCAATGAGGGTTTATGGGTTAGCCCTTGATGAGGTCCTAGAACACGTCCGGACGAGTAAACCGAGGGACGGTATGCCCCTTGTGTGTGATGGTGGCCTACAGTGACGGTATGCATATCGTTATATTGTTCGAAAAAACTAAAAATCCACCTTTTAGGGTGAAGCGTATGTACGTGCGAGAGATACTCCTATGCGTCATAGAGCTATGGTCACATAAGGTCTTAGTGACATTGACTTGTCTCTAGGGGAGGACCTAAAATCCACAAACTGGGATTGTGATCCCTTGGCTCATCGATCAGACTTTGGTGACCCACTAATGAGCCCCTGCTTGGACTATGGGTCATGGGAAACACTGGGTCGATCTGATAAAGCAAGTGTGGTCTGTAGTCCACAATTGAAGGTGGAGTACCCCATGATTGTTTATTCCTAAAACATATGGATCATTTTTCCATCAAATTAATTTAATGGTGTTTGTTTTATGATGATATTTTATTTATAATTTTTGAATTTATAAAATTAAAGATATTGATTTTACAATTGTTTAAATATTTAAATAATATTCTAAAATCATTTTATTAATTTTGAATATATAAAAATATCATGGGGGCCCATTGAGCACATAGGCCCGCCATATTTTTAGAAGGTGGGGCCCATGAGTGCCTTGACTTGATATATCTTTGAAAGATTTTGTGGAAAGATTAGTTGGAAGATATTGACTAAATATTGACTTGATATATCTTTGAAAGATTTTGTGAAAAGATTGAGTAGACTTTTGCTATTTTATAGTATGTGTAATATTTTGATTAGATTTAATTTATTTAATTTTTATTGATGAGAAAATGGTTTAGAAAAAGGGAATAATAGTTCATGCACATTCCATAATGTTAATGGCCCATCTATGAAATGGATGGCTCATATCTCTTACCCCACAAGTCACCATTGATCGACGGTCTTTGTTCAATCTCATAAAAAGAGGTAAGCCAAAGAAAACCCTAAGAAACCCTCATCTTATTCAAAGCCTATAAAAATGGACGGTCTCTACCCAAAATCTCTACACCTTATCTTTCTATTTCTCTCTCTTAATAAAGTTTAAGTTTATTTCTCTCATATTTGATCTCTGTCCCATATTGTGAAAGAACCTAAGGGTTTAGGTTCTGAAGTTCTTCTCTCGCCTATGGTTCTTTCAAATATGATTATGAATTCTTATGGTATATAACATTTAATACACCCAAACAAATAGAGCTTGAAGCATGTTTTTTTCCAACAGTCTATGAGAACGGGTCGGGTCCAACCGTACCCAAACTCAAACCTGAATGGTGTTCAGGTCCAGGTTTTGGACCTAGACCCAACCCACGGGTCCAAATATTGAACCCATACCCGGACCCATGTCGGGAATACCCACAGGGTCACAGGTCTGGTCCGGGTCCATAGCCAACCCTAATTGAAGCTTGTCGGCTTATATTGTGCTTAAAATCAGTTTTAAGAAGAGCACATTGTTCCCAAAACAAACGACAAAATTCACACGCATTAAATGAGTGCATTTGTGTGTTACTGGGAAAGGTTCATGTAGGAAGTTTTGCTGCAAAATAACAAAGGAAAAAGTTTATATAAGGGCGAGGCCCTAAACAATCAAATTAAGGCATACCTCAAAAATTCACTACAAGAAGTTGTTTTGATGTTCAAAAATTCTCAAATCGATCATCTCGACCTCAAGATGTCTGGATATGAGATAAAAATATATTTCAAGTCTTGGAAATAATGCATCTTGTAATACATTTTTTGGACTGTCAATTTTCAAGTTTTTATAGATCTGCTCCATCTCCACTATTTTTGAAGCTTTAAATTTTATAATTCGAAATGAAAACAAATTCTCATGCTATCAACAAGATTTTCAGTATTCAAATAACATCTTTCGACATATACACACATTCTTTGACTTTGTATACACACATTCAGCCAAATACATCAAACCATGACAGGCCGTCTATTATAGGAATTTGACTTTGTATACACACATTCTTTAATACTATAGAAACCCTGCAAGTCCTATTATATTAACCCTTTTTTAGGGCGCGTAGTTTACTATTAAGGAAGCATACTGTAAATTTACTCCCTCAGGCATGAGTCTTAGGAGAATTTTTTTACCGATAAGTTTGAATTGGACTTTAGAATCACCAGAATTGGAAAAAAAAAAATTGAAATTTGAATTCCTAAACACTGATATGATCCTCCAACATTTGAATTTTAATTTTAAAACATAATTTTTGTCAAACTAATGTACAATCTGTATATTTTTTATTTATTTTTTTAAGTTGGTCTTGTAGGAGTTGCATGCCTGAAATTTAGAGCCCTCAAAGGCCCCCTGTATGTGTTTTATTCCAGGAAGTAAATATACAATATGCGCCTGCAGCACAAATAATTTGTTGCGCATGGTGAGAGAAAGTTGCACCGACTTCAGCCTAAGGACTCAGGGTCCATGGCTTATACTAAATCGAGGAAATTATACAAAGAGTTCGGTTGGTATAGAGCGGAGGCTTTAAACAGTCAAGGTAAAGGATACTTTCAAATAATATCCAGAAATGTGGTTTTAATACTGAAAATTTCCGTGATAACCTTAAAATAAATTTCTATATTTAATTATAAAATTTAAAGCTTCAAAAATAGCATAGATCGAGTAGATCTACGAAAACTTGAAAATCTTGAAAATTGACGGTCCAAAAATACGTTACAAGATGCACTACTTCTAAAACTTGAAATCCATTTTTTTCTCATGTACATACATATTGATGTCGAGACGATCAATTTGAGGATATTTGGGCAGCAAACAACCGCTTCTAGGAGAAATTTTTGAGGTGGGCTCTAATTTGATTGTTTAGAGCCTCGGCTCTGTATAAACTTTTTCCTTACATAAATAGTTAAGATTAAAAAAGTGGACCAAAAAATATATTTTTTGTTTAGGAGAATATAGTAACACAACATGTACGAATTTGTCCTCTCATGATCATCCGCAGTAGGAACTGTTCAACTTCAATTTGTTTAGGTTCAATGTCCTTCAATTTTCTTGAGGGCCACCCACCCTTTTTGTGATCACACCAAACATATCAACTATTGCACGTTAACTGATGCTAAAGAGTGTGATTAGTGATCCACGCCAGAGCTAACTAATGCATTGGATGTGATTGCTAAAGTGGTGGGTGGCAAGGTAACTTCCTGTTTGTTTGATGTTTTTTTCTTTTTTTTTCTTTTTTTTCTTTCTTATTATTATTTTTTTTCTTGTTCTTTTTTTTTTTTCCTTCTTCGCCTGTGACGAGATATTATTTAGGGAAATATATCTAATACTTACAAGAGATGAAAATTTATTTGTTGATAACTATTCCAACTCAAGACAATGTGTATGTTATGGGTATTTTAAAATTAAATAAAAAAAAATGTGTTTGAAACGATTCCAACTCAAGACCATGTGTATGTTATGAGTATTTTGAAATTAAATCAACAGATACCGATAAAGTGTTAAATTGTTAATTTATTGTTGATAATTTGATAAATTTCTGTATTACTTATTCTGGAGTAAGCCACCCTACAAATACAGAGAAATTAAGGTAGCTTACCCGAGGTGGACCGACAAAGTGGAATTTAGGACAACTCACTTTCTAATTCAATCAATATATCCTCTTATAAGAAATCCTTTATTGATAATTTATTTGGGAGTATATTATGCAGTTATAATTAAAAAGAAAACTCTCTTAATCCTATACTGTTAAAGGTGTTATCAAAATTTCTTTTAGAGACGACTTAAAATAAAATGTAAAAAGCATGTGCTAGAAAAAAGGTTTTAGGACTTAGAAATCAAATATTAATAAATGACCAATTTCTTATTCAGCTCAAGGGTTGAAGTTAAAATCCTAAATATTGTGTCTTTGAATTGTTCCCTCTTCTATTTGTCTTTATGCATGATTTAGTAATTCCTTCTCTCTCTCTCAAGTTTTTCTCTCTCTAGCTCAAGTTTCCCTATCTGAAATTGAGAAAAAAAGGAGTGGTTAGTCGGCAAGTTAAAATCATAAGGACCTGTTCAAATTCGGCTATACCACTACGCGGTTCTCTTACCTGGTAAACACTAAGACGCTCTCTTCCATGTCAAGGCCTCAATCTATAAATATTTCTTCTACCCATGTCTTCTATATCATCACATCTGCTGGTTTAGAGTTTCTCTCTCTTGGGTGCTCCTCTCTGTACTTTTCTGTAGTCTTGAGTAAAAGACATCATGAGGTCTGGTGCAGGTACATTGATGGCCTTGATTTGCTTCTTAGTATTTGCTCATATTGTAAGCATGGGAGATGCCCATGGGCATGGGTCATCCCTTAAAGTGGGTTTCTATAGAAGAAGTTGCCCTTCTGCCGAGGCAGTTGTGAGACGCACTGTGGCCAAGGCCATTGCTCGTGATCCTGGCTTAGCTGCTGGCCTCATAAGATTGCATTTTCATGACTGCTTTGTTAGGGTAACATCTCTTTCTCTCTCTCACACACACACAAGAAGCTGACTGTATAATAACATAGCAAATGAATTACAAAATGGACCTGATGACAATGGTCTCTCATTCTTGATCCCTCTCGTGTATATGGGCTCAATCCTTCATACGCTAAGGCGCATGCATTCTCATCAATTTTTACTCAATTAGTGAGAGTAATGGTTAAGTATTGAAAAAAGAAAAAGATTAACAAGAAAATTTAGGTAATCCATCTAATTTTTATTATCTTGCTTTACAGGGATGCGATGCATCGGTGTTATTGGATTCTACCCCCGGCAATCCATCAGAGAAGGAGTCTCCGGCCAACGCACCGAGCCTGCGTGGGGATGAAGTGATCGATGAGGCCAAGGCCATCCTAGAATCTCAGTGCCCACAGACTGTGTCGTGCGCCGATATCTTGGCCTTCGCTGCTCGCGATAGTGCACACCAGGTCGGTAGGATCAACTACCTGGTCCCCGCAGGCCGACGGGATGGGAGGGTCTCCATCGAGAGGGAAGTCCTACAGAATTTGCCAGCCCCCTTTGATGATCTAAAACAACTTCAAGCCAACTTTAGCTCAAAGGGTCTCTCTCTGGAGGACATGGTTACCCTTTCAGGGGCTCACTCGATCGGCCGCTCCTTCTGTCCTTCTTTCACTGACCGCCTCTACAATTTCGACTCTCCGGATGGCCAAGACCCTACTCTCGATCAAGCCTACGCATCGTATCTCAAGACCAAGTGCCCTGCTCCTGCGACACCCGACGTGACTGTGGCCATGGACCCTTTGAGCCCCAATGTATTGGACAACAAATACTACATCAACCTAAGAATGAACCGTGGCTTGCTCGCCTCGGACCAAGCCCTCATGACCAGCCCGGCCACGGCCAGGATGGTGCGTCAAAACGCCCACTACCCTGGCCTGTGGGCTCACAAGTTCGGCTCGGCCATGGTGCGGATGGGCTTCATTGATGTCCTCACTGGTTCGAAGGGAGAGATTAGAAGGTCTTGTAGGGTTGTCAACACAAACTGAACTGATGGCTTGATTATTTTTGCTATTTGTTAGTTTAATTCTTTAGTTACTATGATGGGGGGAATTACCTTGTGGGTAAGGCCATGGTAAGGCCACAACCAGGCTTGTATTTTTTATTTATTTACGTTTCTTGATGTTATTGAAGTTAATTAATTAACAAATTGCTAAAACTTGATTACACAACTTTTTATAAAATAATTTTGTTTGTTTCGTAAGAGACCTATGTATTAGTTTATTTTTAACCTAAACAGTCATCCACTCCCCTGCGTTCTAAATGATAATATGCATCTCATTAGGGTTTACTGTTTACTAAATTTCTCTTGGTATTGGAAAATAGACCCTTGATTTCCTCTCTCCAAAGCCTTTTCATGGTTTACTATTTTTTAAGACTGAAACAAATTTGAATTTTGAGTAACTCAAATTGTTCCTTGTTCTTTGTTCCATGGTTTGGGGTAGTATATGTATAGGGTCCAACGCTGTAACCTACGGATAAAAACGAATTAAGGGCACATTTGGTTCGCATGAAATGAAAAAATTCCCTTTTACGGTTAGGTATGTTATTATTTTAGCAACTGGCTTTAATGCCATATTTTCATACCCAACCACATGAGAGAATTTTTTCACATCAAAATATTTCTTCACATAAACCAAATGTGCCCTAAAAGATATTGCCCGACTTGCCTTAATTGATTATGCAATATAGGCAAACATAATCATTTATTCATTTATAAAATGTTGTTTAATTTGGTTTATGCTGATAATCTTTTGTTACTAACATGGACCCACTATATCATCCAGTACTCAGCTTTTTAAACTTTTACATGCTTGAGCCGAATTTTTGGATCCAAGTTTTGGATCCGAAATTTAGATCCAAATAGTAATTTGGGTTGGATCTGGGTATAGGTGGATCTGATTCGAATACAACCCAATTATATATATATATATATATATAT